TGTGCCTTCCTTTGTCACGACGCAGTCTCCGTGGAGTCTCCGGTCGACTTACGGCTTCCTACTCCCTGCACGAAACCGCGTGTGGTCACTGTGCTGCTGGAAAAAGTGCATCATCTTATCATATTGAGTTCAAATCAGTGCGTACGTTTTACTTGCGGTATTATCCGATTTTGCCCTCGCTGTCTGCATTGTAGGCCTTCGCAAGCCGGTCCTCATCTTTTCGTTGTTCTTACCTTTTCTTCATTGTTGTCAAGATGGTTAGAAAAGTTGTGGGTGTGCCTTCGGGTCTTAAAACAGCTGATTCAGTTTACCTATGCGGCTTAGAGAGATGCTGTATACCTGTAACCGACTTGTCGGGTGGTATGCAATGCGATCTTTGTGGTAGATGGTTCCATGAGGCATGCACCGGTTTGCCTGCTGATCAGTATGCTCTCCTGGCAAGCAATGAGAGGTTCCTTTATAGCTGTGAAGATTGTTTTAAGCTGAAAGCTGAGCGCTTTGTAACCACGAAAGACTGTTTCGATTCGCTCGTTTCCAGACTGACAAATATGGAACGAGTGTTTTCTTTGCTGCTGACAACTTTGGATGGGAAAGTTGAAGGTTTACTAGATCGTCTGACACCATCCGTTGTTCACGCCCAGGTGAAATTAGCGGACAGTAACACGCAAACGGATTCAGTCGACTTAACACCCTATCCAGCAACTGATTGTGAGCTAGTTGGCGCTGAACAGTTGGAAAGAACCTTGCCAGCGAAACGTAAGCCGAGCAAGAAGAAGAAAACTGTAAACTTGCAAAATGCGGTAGTCTCGGAGTGTACAGTGGATCAGGTAAGCACGTCACTTGCAGAGCCTTCAGTACTAAGTCCTTCGGTGTCTCCTCCCAAAGACTCTTCGTACGCAGCTAGTGCATCCAAGCAACCAGCCACCCAGTCGCATGATTCTATGACTGTGGCGCGTGGAGTAGGCACCCCCCGCCGCAGTGACTCCTACACTGATAGCAGTGTCATCTTTAGGAATGTCACGGAGTCCACCGCAGCTCTTCCAAAGGAGCGAATGCTTGCTGACCTGCAATGGTTTAAGATTTGCATTTCTAAACTGCTACCGCCCGGGTTTCCTGGCGTAACTGTACGGAAACTCATTAGGCTTGGGTCTGTGCCGGTCGATGCTTCGGGCGTCAAACCCCGTTTACTGAGAGTGGTTCTTTCAACACCGGACGAGCGTAATACGCTTCTGCGTTTCGCTTTTAAACTCAAGGGTTCTGGGGTCAGTATGCAACCTGACCTCCCATTGACTGATAGGTTGAAATTGAAGGCCGCCATAAAGGACCTCAAAGCCCGTCGCGAGGCGGGTGAAACTGGTCTTCGATTGGTGGGTTTTCGGGTGGTGAGCCGGAGGTCTACTTCCGCCCTTTCAGAGCCCGTTCTGGTGGCACCCGATCCCCGGCTCACGATCCCAATTTGCTTAAAGTAGTCCTCAGCAACGTGCGTAGTCTGAGGAACAAGATGTGCGAGATTGGCACTCTTGTAGAAAGTTCCCGGCCAGACGTACTCGCTTTCACTGAGACGTGGCTGTTCTCCGATATCCTGGACAGTGAAATGTGTATGCCTGGTTATACCCTTCTGCGAGCTGATCGCGCCTCATGCTGTCGCGGAGGCGGAGTTGCTTTGTACGTCAAATCCACCTTGACTATTTCACGAACATATTCTTTCAGTTCCCCTGATGTAACTGCCGAGGCGCTTGCGGTAGATGTTTGCGCTTCTTTCACGCAATTCAAAATTGTGTTAGTATACAGAAGCCCCGAAAGTACGTCAAGCAGGCTCATTGATTTCATTCGTACTCATACGACAAATAGATGTCTTGTTATGGGTGATTTTAATGTTCCTGAGGTGGATTGGCGCAATTTCTGCACTGCGGCGACTGGACGTTTTTCAAATGATCTCCTTGACCTATCCTTACAAGCATCCCTTCATCAGTTTGTACAAAGCCCAACTAGGTTCATGGAGTGTCAAAAGCCTTCCATTTTGGACTATTCCATGTTTGCGAAATCGCTGACTTTTTACGTACGATGTAGTGTCTGATTCCCCGTGGGCCTCTAGTGACCACGTTTGCCTATCTATTCCAAGTGCGCCTTAAGTCGGGCACGTGAGTGTATGGTCCAGAAGGCCAAAATATTGGCGAGCTGATTTTCAAGTCATCCGGGACTAGGCTTGCAAATCAACCACTGGTATCGTGTCAGAGGGTTCGATGACCGTGCACCTCGCTTGTGACCGGTTCAAAATCCTTCCTTTACAGAGGATTTCTTCCACCCCAACATTCCAAATACTCAGCGAAAAAATAAACGTAGGGACAAAGCCACGTGGTTTGGACTCCTGAGACGCGTCAGGATGCTCAGTAGGCGCTCCTGGTGTTGGAGGACTTACGTTTCAGCTCCCTCAGGTAGTACCTACTTATCGTCGCTGTTGAGGCGTGCGAAATGCATTGTAAACAACATCTGCGGGCCGCGCGCTTGAGGTATGAACTAGCGCTGGCTCGGTCCACATCAACAAATCTCAAACGGTTCTTTGGTTATGTCAAATTGATGTGCAATGCAAAATCGCCTATCCCTGTGTTCGTTGGACCTGAGGGCACCGAAGTATCAACCGATCAGACCAAGGCCTTTTTACTTGCGGAACAGTATGCTAAGTCGTTTGTTCATAAATCTTCGTTGCCTAAAATCAAATTGCAGGCAAAGTTACCAGTAGATTCCTTTCTGCTGGACCTTTCTATCTCGGAGCTCCTGCGTGACCTGAATTTCACTAAAGCTGCCGGGATAGATTGTCCTCCATCCCAAACTTTTGTACGAGCTGGCCGAGTTATTGTGTAAACCGATTAAATGTATCGTTGAGAGGTCTCTTCGTAGCTGCTCCCTACTTGCTGACTGGAGAGAGGCTATCGTGGGCCCTATTTTCAAAAGGGTGATAAGCACCGGCCTGAAAATTATTGACCGTTTAGCCTAACAAGTGTACTAGTGAAAGTATTAGAGGAGCTGGTAAGAGATGCTCTGGAGAAACGGTTAGCTAAGTTCAGTTTGCTCAACATGGGTTCCGCAGAGGCCACTCCTGTTTGACTAACATGTTGGTAGCCCGAGCATGCTGAGCTGAGGCGGTGGATGTTTTGTTCATCGACTTTTCTAAAGACTTTGACACCGTACCGCATTGCCGTCTTTAGTTTAAACTAGAATCCTACAGCTTTTCAGGCCAAGTGTTGAAGTGGATTTTGGCTTTCCTGGAAGGAAGGCAGATGAGCGTTCGAGTGGGTTCCGGACTGTCTTTCAAACAAGCCGTCCTGAGTGGTGTTCCTAAGGGGTCGGTTCTTGGACCTCTGCTGTTTGAATTGTATGTCAATGACCTCCCTGAGAAGCTTAAGGTACCGTCCCTTATGTTTGCGGATGACCTACAGTGTTGGAATACAGTGAGCGATTCTGTTGGACCCACGGCTTTGAAGACAACTCTGGACAAGTTTTGGGAGTGGTCAGAATTGTTGCAGCTGCCAGTCAAGCTTGCAAAGTGTTTGGTCCTGCGCATAGGATCAAGCACTTCCACAACTCCTTAGGTACTTGGCGGAAATGTAGTACGTCAAGTGACTGAACAAACCGACTTGGGTATCTCGCCATCCGCTGACTTCAGATCCAGCGAGAACTGGATAAATGCTACCCGTAAGGGTTTTCGAACGCTGTAGAAGATACGCAGGTCGTTCGGCATCATAACAAATGAAATGTTTGTTACCTTGCTCTCAGCTTTTGTCAGGCTATACTTGGAGTACCGCGTGCAGGCCTGTCTCCCATGCTTGGTACGCGACAAGATGACACTCGAACGAGTTCTGAGGGTTGGTAAAAATTGGTACAAGGACTGAGGCATCGCTTGGATCTTGATAGACTACTCAAGTTACAAATGTTTTCGCTGCACTATAGGCGCCTTCAGGGAGACCGGATTCTTAAGTACTTTATATTGACAAACAGCATTGGGCCTGGTTTAACTGGACTGTTCCCTCTGGCTCAGATACCATCTCTTTGTGGTCACTGTATGAAGCTGCATAAGCCCAGATCTGATCGAAACATGGAACGCATTACCCAGCGAAGTAGTATTAGCACTAACGGTGAAGGAGTTTGAACATCGACTCGACGCCCTTGGGTGGCAGTTCCAGACCTTTCCTTTTGGTTCTTAACTTCTACCTTCATTTCCTTGGCTTCACACACCTAGTACTATTACGGTCTTATCCACACATTCTCTCCCGTACTACAGTTACCGTTAATTTTTTCCTTTCTGTTAGCCTTTATTTTTTCACGTGGCCGGTACAGCGGGGACTGCTAGTGCAGGCCGCGTAGGCTTTGATTGGTTGACAGTGATGTGATTCGGGTATATCGATTTGGCTCTTCTCGGTTTCAAATCGCTCCTGCAAACTCCATCCTGGTTCAACGACGTAGTGAAGAAGGAACACACATGGGAATTTTCCTACCGTTCCTATACAAAATGAACTTGAATTATGAGGTTGGCCGAGCCTGCTTGAAGCATTCGCATGTGTTCCAGTTGGGGAAACCTGGGCTTTATCCTGCTATTCGGCGGCTTAATGTGGTACAAGAAGCAGCGGTAGTAAATTTGATGAATTCTTCGTCAGACACGTGAAATCAGGAATTGCGTGTTAACGGAATACGACATCCGTATTACCAGACGTGATTTTATCATCTGAGGCATCGGAGTCAGGCGGAGCAAGTTAGTGAGGTGGAACATGTAATCACCATGCTGGAAAGCGAAGGTTCATGTACGGTTGTGAAGGAGCGGTTGAAGCTGCGATTCCTGTTCTTCGTACCTGTGTGCATTCGGAGATTAGTTGCATGATATATGGCGAAGTTATACTGGCTAATTCGAGGCTTCAGGTTCCTTACAGGGGCTGCCTTCTATGGCATTGCATGTTCGTTGACGTCACGGGAGCGGGATGTCCCTTTTTACACCTTGTTACCAAATGAGACGACAGAGAGTTATTTGAAGGCGGTAACAGCTATGCGTGCAATGGTTCCTAGCGCGGCATTCGTGCAGACTGTTGTAGTAGACAAGTGCGCGCAACAAATGAACGCTTTCAGAGAGGTGTATCCGGAGGCGTGCAGGGTTTTGTGCCGTGTCCATATGTTACGAGACGTAAACCGACGGTGCAGTCAGCCCTCAGTTGCGGACCTAGCGGAAAAGGCTTTTCTGATCCGTTTGCTAGGGGACCTGATATTCACGCCTGAGGAGACGCAAACATTCAAATTCAAGATCAGATGGGACTGGAACGATAGGAGAATCCAGTGAGTGTTCCATTTGGAGTGGATCGTTGAACCAGGAATTGGTGACGTTCTCAGTTCCATCGCAATGAGGCTGACCTAACCGTGGTGCGATGGTTTGTGTGCCTCTGTGATCCATTGAGCTATACAGGGTGGTGCAGTTTTGCACCTTCAGACCCACTCATACCAGATTGGTCAATGGTTAGAGGCCAGACAAACTCAGCCTCCTTGTCCTCCAGGTTGGGGGCTGGAATGAGGGTGGTTCCTTATTCCTTAAAACGGACTCCTTGTAGCCCAATGCCAAACCCGCTACCTTGCGGTCAGGTTTTTTAACCAATGGCTTTGGTTGAGAACCCTAATCGTTCTCCTATCTAGGTCTGGGCAACCTGACAGTATCCTGCCCACGCAATACAATGAATCACACTTCAAACAAATTTCTGATGCTCTGGCCGTCGCAGAGGATAATCACCGGTGCCCTATCTGCTGCATCGGGCAGGTTGGATAGGGTTTGGAGGCTACTGCACAAGTCTTCCCGTCTTCTTATTCCCCCTCTTGCGCTATTTCACCCTTATGGTCCCGCTCCAGCTTCACTTTTATCCCCTGTTTTCAACCCCAAATCTCGGCCCTCCCTCACCTTGCTTCAGTGGTCGCTTGTCTTTTAGTTTCAACTCATGTGAACGCGGAGCATCTTTCCTGCCCTGTCAACATGCCCATATCCAAGCAAGCGGCCCATTCCAGTTCATCGGCTTGCAGTTGGAGCCGTCGACCCTCCTTCAGATTGGCATACCTCAATGTTCGCACACTGCTTCAGATCGGTCATCAGGCAGCACTTGCTCGAACATTAGAGACCCTCTCGATCGCTATCTGCGGCTTATCGGAGACCCGCCTGCAAGACTCGTGCTCTGTACTCACTCTGCGATCCCCTTCAGGTGACACTAGCGGCACTTTCTCATTGCGCCTATCCGGTGACGATGCAGCTTCGAGCACCGGCCAAGCTGGTGTTGGAATTGCCCTGAGTCTCCGGGCTGAAGCTACTCTGGTTGCTTGGATTCCAAGCAGTAGCCGGATGTGTGCGGTCCGATTGACTGACTCGTTCAAAGCTTCGAAGTCGCGTGGGACTAACGGGTGTCTATTCGTTATCGCTGCCTATGCACCGACAAACTGTAGCGATGACTCGGCAAAAGACGACTTCTATCGTCAACTGAACGAGCTCCTTCGCCATGGAGGAAGCTCGGACACTGTTGTGCTGGCTGGGGATCAGAACGCTCAAGTTGGAAAATTATGCACAGATGAACTGCATCTGGGCGGCCAACATGGTATAGGCTCCCGTAATGATAACGGTGCGCGGTTACTTCATTTATGTGAGGATGCTCGCTTATTTCTTGCGAGCACTAATTTCAAACACCGCACCCGCCGGAGGGTGACTTGGCGCCCACCAGCCTCGAACCACCTATGGACGCCAACCGATCACATTGCGATAAGTTACCGATGGAGAGGCTGCGTCCAGAACTGTCGCTCGATTTTGAGCACAGGTGTGGACACCGACCATGCATTTGTATGTGCTGACATTCGGATGCGTTTTGGTGGACGCCCAAGGCGACGTTGTGAGCGCATTGACACCAGCCAACTGGCGAAGCCAGCTGTGCTGAATGCCTAGCAAGGTACGCTGTCATGTGAGTTGGATAAACGCT